CCGGCGCCGTGCTGCCATGGCGTCGAAGTGGTGGTGGTCGCGAGCTCCCTGGTGGATGCGGCTGTGGGATCCAGCCCCGCAGGAGGGACGGGCGGGCGAGCCGGGCCACCTCGCACAGACCCTGCGACGGCACGGGTCTGCGAGCGCCACCCCCGCGCTGGACGGAGCTCACGTTACACGCTGCGCTCTCCAAAGGGCAGCAGAGTCAACGCCAAATAGAAAGGATATTGTTCGGCTCGCGGGGGCAGCTCAGCCAAAGCTGAAGCTGGCAGAGCTGGGTCCTTTCTGAGGAGGTGTCTGAGCGGGGAAGGTCCCAAAAGGTACTGAGGTGAGGACCACAGTGCCAGCGCGGGATCACCGGGAGGCTTCAGGCTGCCACCTGGCAGGAGGAGAAAGCCAATGCCCACAGACATGCTGACCAGGGCAGTACAGGACTGGGCCAGTTTAGGAACCCTGCAGTCAGGAAGCTGAGGAGGAAAGAGGGCGTGGAGGCACAGACCTGTAGTGCCCGCTCCTCCAGAGTCTGAGGCAAGGGGATCTGACTCCCAGGCCAGCCTGGGTACCATGTCAAAGGAAGGCCACGAGGAAAGGAGGGAGGCAGAGAGGGAGAAACTGACAAAGATGCCCATATTCTGCCCAGCTCCCTTCTCTGAGAGCCTGAGGTCACTGATGTCACCTTCGGAGCAATCCCAGTCCTCTAGGATCTGGTCAACAATTAGCCAAGCACCCCAAAAGAGGTCCGCACTGTCAAGAGTTGGAGAAAAAGTAATCCCCCGCTTGCCAAGGAGAGCAGAGGCAGGCGGGTTCCATAGAGGACCACCAGAAGGCAATACCTTACATGTGTTTTTACCGAGAGATTTGGCAGGGTGACTTGGAACCCAAGTGAAACACCCAAGGTCAGCGTCCCAGCTGTGGCCCCTGCCAGCCGAGCAGTCCCGGTGGTCAGCAATCAAAGATCCCACGCACTCATAGGAGTCTTTCATAGTCCATTCCCTGAGAAGCCGTCTATTCTAAAAAGCTTCCACAATAACTTCTTCTGTCTTCCCAAAGAAAGAACCAGTAGCCATCATTCTAGACAGTGAGGTTCTGGGCCCCCTAAACTGGGGTGGTAGGAAACCTTGGAGGGGAGCCGTTGGCACTCCAAGGCCAGACCCACACACCAAGGAGCACACATTACTGGCAAATCCAAAATAGGGAGAAATACTCATTAACCACCCTGCAGTCGGCCTCCAAATACAGTCAGCTGACTACAAGCATGGGTACAATCTAATTAGTAAAGACAGCCCAATTTCAAAGTTGCCCAACACTGATCAATTCAACAAATATTTTTTAATGGTGAACTCAGACCTGGAGGAGCTAGAAAGTATGAGGAAAAAGTCCCACTCTCCAGTATGGGCAGTTGAGTGCTTCAGAAATCTGTACAGGAAGCTCTGTGCTGCAGCTTCAGGTCAATGCCCTGGAGCCTCCGTCTCTCTTCCATCCCCACAATGGACCCCCTCCAACACACACACACACACGCACGTGGAAATCCTAGGCACTAGAACCCAGAACTCTCAGGTAGAGCCACTGTTGTAAGGAGGGAACATTTATGGAGGCCCTCAAGGGTCACACATAGACCTGAGAAAGAGGCTATAGTCAAGTAGTTGGCATTTATGGATGGCGTTCAGATACAAGGTTACCATGTACTAATCAACTCAACAAATATTTACTGTGAACGCCTGAGAGAGGCTTTATGCAGATCCCGCATGGAAAGCCCTCACACACACACACACACACACGCACGTGGAAATCCTAGGCACTAGAACCCAGAACTCTCAGGTAGAGCCACTGTTGTAAGGAGGGAACATTTATGGAGGCCCTCAAGGGTCACACATAGACCTGAGAAAGAGGCTATAGTCAAGTAGTTGGCATTTATGGATGGCGTTCAGATACAAGGTTACCATGTACTAATCAACTCAACAAATATTTACTGTGAACGCCTGAGAGAGGCTTTATGTCTGGTTGAGCCTGAAGCCTAAATCTCTACACACCCTTGCCGCCCATTCCGCAGCCTGTCCTGCGGCAGGCATGGGAGCCAGCCAGCACTCTGAACCAGAGAAAACGGTAACCAAACCACAGTAAGGTGATAGCAACCAAAGAGTGAGGGCAGAGTAAGGATTTTCAGAAGTTTTTCTTTCCATAAATGAAGAAGACTATCAAAAATGGTCAGAATCTATTCAATACTTTTCAGAATTCTGCAAGTTAACCATGGCTTTCAATAATCCTGGGAGCATGTAAGCAAGAAAAACAGATGAATCTTGGTAAAGAGTAGTGAGCTTTATGTTGCTTTAACTTATCCCTGTTTCCTAACTCTGTGGCTATCTTGAAAATAACAGCTGGCGTTCTCAGTAAGGGGCAGAACAGAACAGTATGAACAACTGTATGCCAAAAAAGTAACCTAGATGGAAGGGCAACGCCCTAGAGGAACACACACTGTCAAAGCTGATGGGAAGAAATAGATCCAAATAGACCTATTTAAAATAAAGAGACTGAGTCAGTAACAGAAAAAAAAGGAAAAACAAACACATTTGTACCAATAAGTGCCCTTGGGACTTGCTTTAATCTAAATGTTTGTACTGTCCCCAATATTCATAAATTGGGATTACGGTTCCCTCCCACAAAGCCCACAAAGGAAAACTCAAAACCAAATGGCTTCACTGGTGAATTCTACCAAATGTTTTAAGTAGAACTAACACCAACGGTTCACAAAATCTACCTCTCCCCCACTCCCATAAATAGAGCAGAAGGGAACACTTCTGACTTACTCTGTGAGGCCAGGATTACGCTGATACCAAAACTAGACACAGACAGGTGTCGTGAGAGAAGAAAACTACAGACCAGTATCCCTTATAAACACCAATGGAAACATTCTCAACAAAATACTGTAAACTAAATCTAGCAGTCTACAAAAAGGATTATACATCCTAACCAAATGGGATTTATCCCAGGGTATGGGGTTGGTTTAACATCCAAAAATCAGTGTAATAATATATTGTGTCAACAAGATAAAGAGAAAATACCATGTGATTATCTCAACAAATACAAAAACCACATTTGACAAAATTCAACACACTTTTGTGATAAAAACACTCAACAAACTAGGAACAGAAGGGAACTTCTTCAGCCTGAAGAGGGGTATCTACACACACACACACACACACACACACACACACACACACAAAACCCATAGCTAAAATTTAAAAAGATGTAAAAACCCATAGCTAACCTCATACTTAGTGGTGAATAAAAATCAGTACTTGCCCCTAAGGTCGGAAATAAGACAAGGATATCGAATCTTGCCACTTCTTTTTACGATTGCACTGGACTTTCTAGCAAAAACAATTAAACCAGAAAAAGAAATAAAAGGCATCCAGATTGGAAAGATGTTTTATGTATTTGTATATAATTTACTCTTAAAAGAGAAAAACACAAAAGAATTAAAAAAAAAAACCTCTTACAATTCAGAGTTCAGCAGACCTGTAGGATTATAAGATCAATATACAAAACCACTAAAAATGATCAATCTGAATATGAAATTAATAAAACAATCCCATTTACAATAACATCAAAAAGAATAACTTATTTAGGAATAAATTTAACAAATTAAGTGTAAGACTTATTCACTGAAAACTATAAAACATTGTTGAAAGAAATGAAAAAAAACTAAATAGGGACCAGCAGTTAGCATAATGGTTATGTCGCTGAACTTTCATGTAATTGACCGTGGTTTGAGCTCCGGACCCGATGGCTTAAACTCACGCTGGGCACATGTGCGTGCGTGCGTGCCCCAGATCCCGAGAGGAGAATGGAGGAGAAGGGATTGCAGCATGGCCATCCCCCCGGGGAGTGATTTCTCGTCTCGCTTTCCTCTGCCTCTCTCTGTATGTCTGGTGAGCGCAGTACCCTATAGCAAAAACCTCTCAAAAAAAAAAGAAGAAGACCTAAATAAAGATGTCCCATGTTGATGGATTAGAAAAGTTAATATTGTTAAGATGTCAATACCTCCTGCCCCCGACTGACCTGTGGATTCAGTGCAATTCCTATCAAAATCTAAACTGCCATTTTAATAGAAATAGTCACTGGAATGGTAGTTAAGGCTCTAGACTTCCCACATGGCTGACCATAGTTCTAGACCCGAACCTGCCAGTTTGCTTTCTCACTTTCCCTTTCTCTCTAGTGAGTGCATGTATGTGCCCTATAGCAAAATTTTAAAATTTAGTTATTTATTTATCAATTTGTAGACATTCAGTGTACATCAATACAGCCTACAAAATGAAATTTTCCATCTAGTATACATTGTATATTGGCTCAATCAAGAATATTGCATACATGTTATCATCAACAAATAATTTTCTATTTCTTCTTTTTTATATATTTTGTGTTTTTTTCCCACTTAATTCCCTACCTCTCACCCTCTGCCAACTTCCCCCCTTCTCCCACACTGCCTCTGGTATGTACAGTTGTTTTCCATGCCTTTTTTTTTCACATTTTATTGATTCGTTAAATATCTTAATTAAAGACTTTCAATAGCAAGCACAGCTGATACATACATATTTATAAATGCATGTCTAACTTTCAGCATAAACCTCAGTGAGTAAAGAGAACATACTATAAAGCAGCACCTTGCTGGGGCTATATAGCTTACTGCAGTCATTAAATAGGTATTAATAGGTATTTTTTAATACATTTTTTAATTTCAAAAAAAGTTTTAGTTTAATAGATAAAAATCAAAAAAATGTTAAGAGAAATTTGCTTAAAACTTAAATCCAGGAAAAAGATTAGAATTCAGTTCAAACAGTAG